AAACCTTTTTTATTTTCTTTTTTTGCAGCTGGCTGGTACAGGGATCCGAACTCTTGACCTCTGTGTCATAATACCCTGCTCTGACCAACTGGGATTAAGATTTCAACGTAAATCTGGAGAGACACAATGTTCAGTTCGTGTGTGTATGTGTAGGCGTGTTGTGCGAATGAGAGATTTAGTCACTTAACTGGGGGTCACCCTGCACAGGTGGCAGAGCTCATGGGAACCCAGGCAGCCCAACCCCAGAGCGTCTGCCTGACCACCACTGACGTCCAAGCCGCAGACGCGGGCGTCGTGTCAGCACAGACTCTCTTCCCCAGACGGTATCGATGGGACTCTGTTTCTCCCGTGGTGTTTGACCCGGCGGAGTTGTAGTATTCTTTTCAACACATGGTTGGGGTGTAATTGCCAGGAGCCTTCTAGAAACTCAAAAGCTGTTCCTAATTAGAAAAGATGACAACAAATGAAAACAAAAATCATCCCAGGTTTGGATAATGTTAAATAGAAAAAGTCCCAGCTCATCGACACTGAGGGCTTGGAGTTCACAGGGACAGCTCGGACTCGGGGCCCAGCCAGCGAGAGCTCTGGTCCTCCCTTGACCGGGGTGTGATGAAGCCTCCCCGCCCCCTCCCTCCCCTATCCACCCCTGGGCCAGACTCTGCTCTGCCCACCTGGGCCTGAGGGGCTCTGGGTGGGTGTCATTCTGGCTGTGGGACCTTGTGGACTTTCTGGACCTGCAGACAGTCGATGTTGATGGTTCTCAGAGCCTCTGCTGCCCCCCACTGTCCTGCAGGCCCCTCCCAGGGTGGCGCATCTCTGTCCCAGGTCATGTGGCTTCCACCGTCCACCCTTTCCCCTGGGCACCTGGTGACTCCCCCAGACCTTCCTGTAGAAGGCTCCTGAACCCCCAGGCNTCCCCTGGGCACCTGGTGACTCCCCCAGACCTTCCTGTAGAAGGCTCCTGAACCCCCAGGCTGCCCTGTTGACCAGGACCCGCAACCCTAAGGCTCACTGCTGGCCTCTGGGGGACCCCAGCGTCCAGCCACCTCCAAGCTGGGGCTTTGGAGGATCAGCTCTTCCTTCGAGATGCTGAGAGAGCAGGTGCCGGCCACTGTCTGCTCAAGCGCGTGGCTGCCGTCCACATCAGGACGTCTGCCGGGGCCTCTCCTTGCATGGGCGGGGGTGCACAGGTAGTGCCCAGCCCTTCTGTTGGGGGGGAGTAGCTGTTCCGAGGAGTAGCTGCCCCTGTCTTTCCTCCCATGTCTGCCAGCTGGGCCTGGGCAGGGGTCCTCCTGCCATGGTCCCTGTCCAGGTGTGTGTGTGGCAGGTGGGGGGGTCTCGCACACAGTTTGAAATTCCCAAAGGAAACTGAGCCTGGAGCACTGGCCCTTCAGCTTGTCGTTGGCCTTACTGCGTGCGTAGAGGCTGTGGTTGGTGCTGGAACCTTCTGTCCCTGAACATTCCCACCGAGACCCATTTTCGGGCCACGACTCTTTGCATTTTGCCTCCTTGTGCCCAATGCCAGCCTCGGCTTTTCTCCTGTCCTTGATTACACACGTGATCTGCTGTGATGGCTGCAGGTGCCACATGAAGCTGAGACGTGAGTGATCGGATCCCAAAAGGCCTTAGAGGCCCCGTCTCAGTGACTCCTGGGCTTGTCGTTGCTCAGGCAGGACGCAGGACGAGGGCTGTGGTGTTCGCCGAGCGGCCTATTGCGGTTTGGGGTCTGAGGAATGTCCCAAGAGGAAGCAGGAATTGAAAATGACGAAGGGCTGCTGCGTAAACACAGGCGGCTTCTGTCCGGCCCGAGGGCACCAACTGCAGCCCAGGAAAGGGAGCAGGAGGTTCAGAGGTCAGGAAGCCGAGATGCAGCGGGGACAGCGCACGACGAGGACGCACCTGGGCACGAGGGCGGGAGGGTGACACCCGGCTGTGCCTCGTCCCGGTGCGCGGGAGCTGGGGCTTACGGACGTGGCTCTGGGGTCCGTCGCTGCGGGCTTGGTGCCCAGGACTGGATGGTGGCCTGAGCCCGCCCCACAGGAGTCTGTGATCCAGCCCAAGAACAGCGACATTCTCACATGAAGTGGTGCCTGCAGATGACGACTAGTGTCCCGCTGAGGAGAACACGGCCAGCGTGGCCACGGCTGGCTCCCAGGGGAGCTCTCGGGGGGAGCCGTGGGGAGCCCCGGGCCCGGCGGGGCTGAAACACCAGTTACTTGTCGCTGGCCAACCAGCTGCCGTGAAACTTAGTGAGCTTGAAACATCCCCCGTTTACTGGTTTATTCTATACCCGTGGGTTAGGAATTCAGAAAGGGCTCTGCTGGGTGGTCCTTCCGTCCACGGGCCACTGGCTGGGGTCGTCGGCTCCACGCGGGGCTGGGCCGGGACCCCGGGGACCTCCCTCCCTCGCCCGCACCTCTGCCCCTTGCCACAGCGTGACAGGAACAGCAGGGCCACTGTGTTCTCAGGAAGGGCGCATTGGAGGCGCTACAG